CCGGCAGCCCCCGGCCGCTTCCCGACCGTGCGGCGGACGCCCTGCCACCCCGAGAGCGGCCTTCTCCCCCGTACTGTTAATTAACCACACAACAATACACGACTGTTACACAGACTTGAAACTCCAAGCTGGAACGCCCCAGATTTCAGTCTGTCTCCTGTCGCGACGCCGATTTAAAGCCCCGCAGACTGAACCCACAGCAACGAAACCCCACGTGTTTATTACTACGGCTATTTACAGTTTAATTCTCTAATTAGCTTAGTCGAGCTAAACTCACCTACCTTACACAAAGCATTAAGTAAGGAGTAAAGCTTCAGTCACCCACTGAACTGGGACTTGGAACAAAATCTAAAGATACAGGGGAAGACTGCCGCGGTGAGTTAACAGGGATGCAGAGGTATTATATAATTACTACACACTGAACAGACCCACTGAATCACCATAATGAAAGATTTGTCTGCCATTCTAAATTTATTATGTTTAATTTTTTTTATCTAATAGAAAAATTCACAGGGAACAGCAAACGAGCCGAGCAGGCACTGCTGCACTCCCGGCTCGTGCTCCCAGCACTGCCACCAAACCCACCGACGCCGGTCCCTCCGACTACCTCACCCGCTCCTCAATCTCACCAAACTAGCACGTCCCCAGGTTTGCAGACTGAAGATGGATTTGTACCCATTTTTTAAACCTTCATCACTATCTCTCCGTTTCCTTAAGCATTCTATCCAAAACCAAGAAAAATCAACTTCAGTGCCTTCCTTAATCCCTTAACTACAACCCCTCTTTTTGCAGGGCTTAATGAACATTGGGCTTGTGGAGATCAGGAGCTATTCTCAGAGCCATTCTGTCACAGCAGAGGGTATCCTCACACTATTATTTCAAGTCTCAGGCCAAAGGGAATTTCTGTATCAAGAACAATAGTAATATTTGTTTCTTTTAAAGCACTTTTTTTTTTAAATGGGTCTCAGCACTTGATAAAGGTGATTGTTATCTTTATACTGCCAGACACTGGAACAACAAGAGATGCAAGATCCCAACAACTATGTTAAGTATTTGAGTTGTATTGTAAGCAAAGCCTACGGTTTGGCTTCCTTAACAGTACTGGAGGCCTGATAGGGTAAATAGTGGTGAAACTATTTGCATGGTCCCATTTTGCAGCTGTTCAGCAGCAAGGAATGAAGAAGAGCTGTCTGATGCAAATGACTTGTCATTTGAACAACATACAAACTCAGAGAAAAGAGCTGGCAAAAATCTTGGGCAATGCAAACACAGGCTGGTAACGAGCACGTAATTTGTTAGCTGTATGGCTGGAACTAACCTTCAGCTTGATGAATTTAGTTTTGGTGTAACTGCTCTAGAATCTAAATTAAGCCCTCTAACCTTGTACTTCTAAACCGAGATGCAGCAGCAGCTTCAAAACCAGACAATTAAAACAGCTCTCTCACTGTCAATTCCACAGACAAAAGGATGACACTGAGCAAGCGCCGCTTCCACCGCTACTCTGACACCGGAGAACACACCGCTGTCCCTCACGGATGATACCCTCTAATAACAACTCCAAAAGCCAGCCTCCTCCAAACCACCACCTACAGATTCCTCGTGTAGCAGCGTCAGGTTGGGATAGCTTGGCTAAAAATGGTATGAATTTTGGAAAGGCTCATGAGGTTAACAACTCCCACATGCTTTTGGTGCTTTATGTTTTGACTACATCATTTAACATTCCTTACTCTGAATATTTTCTGTTCAAAAGGTTTGGAGTAATTTCAAAATTTTTTATTTTCATGTGTAATATCCTAACAAGTTGCATCCTAAGAAGTTCTAGCACAGATTGTCTAAAATTCAATTCATTGTAAACGTACAAGCACTGCACTGTGTCTTGTACAGACTGAGACAGGCACTGGCCCGTCTGACCTTATTATTTATTTTTCACCACAGACACTGCATTCACTGTGCTTTTGCACCTGAATGTGGCCTTATCTCCCCAAATGTAACCATAGTGGACCGTTTGTGGCATTAGTACTCCTGTGCATTTTTCATACTACATAACCCTATGCTACGTTGTGTTCCTACGTAACAGGAAGGTGCCTGAGTTGTTATAAACCTGTTTGACAAAACATTCTTCCATAAACAAATTAATCTCACCTTAATCAAGGACAGTTTCACAGCCAGGCTTATTCAGAAGCCTTTTTGAAACTGAGTTCTCACTGCAATTTTACTTTGTCGGGAATTACAAAGTGCTGTACTATGTGCAGAATAACACTAGTTGTTAGAAGTCAGAACTAGCTAGTTCGTTTCATTAGGAGAGGCAGGAAGAAATTCTGAAATCCCATAACAAGTTTAAGCTGTTTCCATGAAATATCACAACTCTCATATCTGCATCCTGGGGAAAGCACATGCAAAGCAGGCTACAAATATCCTCAGTCCTTCAGTAAAGATGAAGAGAAGATGGAAGAAAAAAAGTACTCGCTTGTGCTCACTTAAAAATTCTATCCTATTTACTATTCATTTACAGCAGAGAACAGGGAAGTTAAAGCTCTGTGCAGTTTTAAGGTTCGTTTGCACCAAGCAAATTTGGACTTTGCTTATCTTAGCAATGAGGCTTGGAAATCAGCCTGTTTAACTCACAAATTAGAAACCCACAAAAAGCTGAAGAAAACCTTGGGAAAAAAATAAGTGGCTATGACAACATCTTAAATGCTTCAAAGTGAAGCAGAACAAAATGACATGCAAGCCACTCTAATTCTCTTTTGGGGGTAACTAAACCCTGTGCTGTTTGTTTGTCACCAAATGGAATTTGCCTAAATTTACAAATTATCATAAAAATGGGGAAGGAACTATGTGCACGTACCTGTGGTGGTAAATTTACAACAGTTTTGAAATGGCAGTGTATACACCATAACACGTTATATGCAGAGACAGAAGGATATCTAAGACATTATTTATTACACGTTTTTTGTCGTCTCAGTTGTCAGGAAGGTGTGATGTGAATCTAAGACTGATACAGACCCTATAAGAACAGCATCATCTCTGATACAGAAGGTGAGACAAAAACAAACCTTTAAATAAAAACCAGACATATAAGCAACCGTATTTTATAAAGAAAGCAGAAAACAGCACATTTTTTTCCCAAGGTATGAATTTTCCCTGCAGTTTCTAAGCTATAGGATAGTAAAAACTGATACAACAGACAGTATGTAAATGCTTTAATGTAGTAACTCGCCCTTGAGACCACACATTGAAGATCTCCTCCTCTACATGACACTTCTCCTACGCTGTCAGTCACTTGCACCTTAAATTCCAATTTCTTCACATTCACTTTATTTAAAAAGCCTGCTTACTATAAATTTGTCACTTTAAATACCGAAAAATACAAATACTAGAGAAAACAAGGTTTCTTAATGCCTTCCTTTGGTTTTCATATTCTTGGAATGGACAAGAAATTAAACAGAATATTGCTTTTTAAATATTCCTATTAAACTAATCTTGACCTGATTTATCAGTATGCTGACTGAATGCTGAATATTTAATGGTAGTGAAAACTCTTTAATTTCATGTTACGCTTTCACTTCAAAAATCATCACAGTTTAGCAAGATAAGAATTTTCCTTACATATCACTTCTCTAAAAGGTGGGAGAAAAGAATAAAATATATCAAAATAGATGGTTCAAAAAATAATTGGAGTATAAGTATACACTTCCAACAAACATTCATGATTACAGATTTGTGATCTGTTTTCCCCCATCTTGGAGTAAAGTTAAACTTTACAGTACAACCTAGTTTTGCGCAGTGAAGCAACTCAGACATTTCTACAGCCACCTCTGAAATTACCTGCCAAGCTACCGGTGTCACAGACGTAGTGACAATCAGGGAACTGCAGGAGCACACCACTGAACCATGGCTGCAATGCTCCTTGGACTAACTTGGTCCTGGAAACAGCTGCCTTACCTTTGAGCAGCACGAAGCTGGGATTACTAATACCAGCCACCCCAACCTGGATCGTGCAGAACTAGTTCGAGCATGTCCGCACTGCGTTCCCGGACCTAAGTCTAGAGGGCAGAAAGAACCCAGTGGTTCTACACCAGCTCAGGCCCAGCACCCTACTCTGTGCAACTCCTGAGCCCAAAACTACTCGGAGCTGCTGCCGCTGCGCTGGCCTCCAAGAGGCACAGCGGCAAGCCTTTGTCCAGAGGCACCGAGGCTCACGCTCTGATCTAACGCTCCCTCCAACTAACATACAGTGCAGACACCAACGTGGATTTCCAGAAGCTTGCCTGGGACTGGTATTGCCAACACCAAACTGCAACTAATGAACAACCCACAGCACACAGAGCAAGGCACAGCACACACACACCTGAGCAGCTGCTGCAGGGGCAAATAAACTCTGCTGAACACGGCTCTTTGGAGAACTCCTTTGCATCCCAAACTCAAAATCTCACACTGCAACAAATCCCAGACAGATTTTGAAACCAACAAAACTGATTCTTAGAGGCTGCTCCAAGAGTCTTCAGAAAGAGCTGCTTGGCAGCATGATCTTGTTCACAAGACCTACTAGGATAAAAGTCATCAGGTCACAAGAGAAGACAGTGAAATGAACAAAAGGATATTTCAGATGTTGAGGCAAGGTATTTACTATTCTGTCAGCAGTGCTCAGCCTCTTTTATCAGTACATTTATTTTCCAAAGTGCAATATTATCCATCAGAAAACAGATTTGAAATATACGGATGCCTGTCTTCATCAGGGCTAAAATCTTTGCAGAAAACAATCAATGAGACAGAAATTTAAACTGTCAGAGTGACTCCAAAAGCACACTTATGTTAATGAACTGATGTGACTAGGGGCAGAGGCAACCCAAGATAAAGTGTCTAGAGAAAGCTAAGCTGGCTAGAGATTCACATCGGGAGCCTGCCCTTGGTGAATGAACACTGAAGAGAAGTCAACAGACTGGCTGGCAATAGCGAACCTCTATCTGAGTGCTATCTCAACGCTATTAGAAAGTGCAGAAGGGTTTGTTTTGTTCCTCAGTCTAGCCTGAGTGACCTAAAATATAACAGCTTTACATATTGCTATATTGCCCTATAAACTTCAGAACTACATAGTATCAACTCGTTCTTTTATGAAGTGAAAATCAGCTACTTACAGATGTTGTCAGCCTTACAAGGAAATTTAAGAAACAGTAACAGTGTAACAGCAAGGCTGTATATACCCAAAACCCACAAAAGTTTTTAAAATAAAAACAAACTCAAGCTACGTATACTCACTGCTAGCAAGCTCTTGATCAGTTATTCGAATAATAGTTTATAGCCACAATAGTCTAACAGTAACATACTCTACCATTACTTATAGTTAAACCATTTTTTTCTTGGTTTGGGAGATACATTGCCTCAGTAATTACACCCTTTTTCCTGCCCCCAACTCCCTGAATAAAACTGGAATGGTATAAAACCAGGACAATTTGTTTCATGAAGCTACCTATAAAAATGTCTCGACAAACAATTTTTGTCATATGATGCAAAGACCATAAAAATAACTGATTTCTGCACAAAAATCCACAGCAGAAAGTGTCTCAGTATTTACAGAAATAGAAAAATATTTATTTTATGTAATCTGGTATAGTTTTTCCATTCTAGTTTGTAGCATATATGGTGCTACAGCAAATCATTAACCAACAAGACAGAAACAGTGTTTGTACATATCCTATAATTTAACAGTAGTTCTTAATGTCAACTGTACTGGCACAGAATTTAGACCAATGAAATGTAGCATTTGCAATATTTTAATTATATTTTGTAAAATTATTTTAATTATATTTCATAAAATGTTTCAAAATCTGTGTAACACAAATAGTAAAAAAATAGGATTTGAATAAAGGGGGATAAAAAGTATTAATAATAAAAGGTAACAGTGCTGTAACTGATTTTTCAGACATTGATACCTTTAAACTTTTGTAGTATATGGTCCTGTTGATCTCCAGAGGAAACAGATTTTGCTCCTTTCCTGAACGTGCCCAGTTTATATACCGTAGCCAGTTCCCCTTCTTTGGATCAGTTGCATCAACACACATCCATCCCAAGTTTGGGTAATACACCTATGAGACAAAAATGGCATTAAGCAAACGGACAACTGTTAACACTGAAGTGTGCACGCACTACAACACCACACATTTTAAACCTGTACAAAGCAGTAGTTATCATCGAAGGGCAGAGGTAACACAAAGGGTATGAGCAGAGGTAGAGGTTGTACTGGGAGGGAGTGTTCCTGGTCTTCTGCAATCTTTTAGTGGAACTGGTACAACTGGAAAAACACTTCTGGCCTGCAAGCCCTTCTCTGAAGGTTTTGGGCTCAAAAGCGAAAACACTTAGAACATTTTATGCTTTCTTTTCAGTTTGGCAAGCCTGAAATGATTCTCTAGATTTTGCATTTAGTAAAATGAGTGCTTTTAAGATATGAAGGCAATAGAGCTTTATTTTTACTATCTGATGAATTGGGAAAAGTATTTATATAGAAGTTAGAAGCATCTGCTTTATTTGGAAAGACAAGTGAAAGCATAATTTAGGGTTTTTTCAGGGTATTAAAGAAAACCTTAATATTTCAGAAATCTTGCGATCACCTTAAAAAAATGACCACGTCAATAAACTTCTGCATGTTCCAAGACGCTGTATAAATTATTGGGCTTTGTTCCTGGAGAAAAATTTTTAACACCTACTCCTGTTTTACATTTCAAGACAGCTTGCAATAAAGCAAGGCTACTGACATCTTCAGTATTTTTTGATGACAGGCAACTCTGCTTCTCTTTCAAGACATGTTATGCATCTCCCACTCTTCTTATAATCCAGGTTAGATGCCTATAAGAAGAGCTATCAGTGGATGTTACACATTTTTTTCCAAACCAAAGAACACACCACTGTTCAGCAATGGAACTATCCTTCTTCCATGCCTTTGTCTCAGAACCACAGGCATACTCGCAGGTACACAATACCTCAGAAGTAGTGGGCAGCTCACAGATTTTTAGGAAATAAAAAAGGAACAATTTTACAGAATCACAGAATGGTAGGGGTTGGAAGAGACCTCCACTCTACCAAAGCAGGGTCACCTACAGCAGGCTGCACAGGACCTCGTCCAGGAGGGTTTTGAATATCTCCATGGGAGAATCCACAACCTCTCCGGGCAACCTGTTCCAGTGCTCCATCACCCTCAGAGTGAAGAAGTTCTTCCTCAATGTGAAATTTGTTTATATTTTCTTATTTGCTTTTTTCATTGTGGTCAAGTCTATAAATACCAGCCTCTGCCTGGTAGAGCTCTTTTCAAAACCCAGCCTCCCGGCTCATCACCTCCTGCAACATTCGCTTAGCACCACTGCAGATAAGGAATAAACTAAAATCCCCATTTCACCGTAACTTCCCATTCTGTTACTCAATGTTGTAGCTTTTTTTTTGTTTCTGACACTTATTTTACAAGTAATTCCAAGTCTTTTCCAACTGCTTTACATTTTAAATTTCAAGTACACTTCTACAAGAGCTTAAAACAAGCACCATTGAATAAAAATGATTTTTTTGTGCTCATATACTGTTGATTAAATAAAATGCAATTTTATCAATAAAAGTAAAGTTTCAATAAATACACCAAAATCATCTGTTTCTTTCCAAGCAAAGAGAAAACATCTCCCTTACAACTACTCCAGCATGGATTTCATCAGCTGACTTTTGGAAGAATGTTCATCAGCGCACTCAGTCCTTGCAATATGAAAGGGTAAACAGCTTTGCAGACCAAGACTTTAAAAGCAATTCTTCCAATTAAAATGGAAAAAAAAAGAGCCAAACAATGCTGTTGAAGTTAGTAGATATGGAAGATATGTCAAAACATAATACTTTATCATTTTTTTAATCTAGTACTTCATTACATTTCTGTATTACTTTATTATGGCTTTGCACAAAACAAAATACTTCATCACTTTTTAGTTAAAGCTTCTAATTTACAGAATATTGTTTAAAAGCTTTGTGCACTGTGAGAAAGGAAATAGCTCCAGCTCCTCCATACAACACGACTGGAAGAGATTCCTATAAACCACAGTAAAGACCATTCAGCGCAGTGGTGCCAGTCATTCAGACAGCATTTCCCCCAGTTTTCAGTCACTTGCCGTCATTTTCCTATCTGTGCCTTTTTTCCAATAGAAAATGAAAATCTGTTCAAGCCTCTATTTCTCTCCTCAGACACTGCAAGCATACACTGACACACAAAACATCTTACTCAGAATGATACTCTAGGATGACAGTTCAAAATTATCAAAATTGACTGGAGATGCCAGCTTTCAGACGCCTGCCTTTTTCTTCAGATTAACTTCACTAAACAAACAAATGGGATTCTTGTGGAAAAGGCTGTTCTCCTTAGCTGAAGGTCCATATACCTAACCAATTCCACATACCACCACCCTTTCACAAATCATATTTTCTAACCATTAAGATTCTGTAGCGGTTTCAGATATCAGCATATGGAGCCAACTGCTGTGGTCTCATTTTAGCTGCTTTTTTAAATTCCAGAATCAGTATTAAAGCAACACACAATTACTTCGAAATCGAACGAGTGTTCCCTATCACCTGCATCGCAAACTACAGAACTTTGTAACAGCTTGTTTGCAACTATCATTTCTCAACACAAATTTTAAAAATATTAAGACATATCCACTGAGAACATTCAAAATCCAGCACTGAGAAAAACAATTGCAAGGTCAATAATTTACTTGACTGATTCAATCTCACTAAGAGTTCTTGCACCAGATCAAAACTGAAGATATTTTATGCAGTGGAGTTCGTGATAACATTAGCCCAACGCAACAAACACCATACTCGAACACTTTATTACTTTCCTGAATGTGAATTTGCATTTATGGGAAAATATTATAGATCAATACCTCTGATAGGTGTTAACATTAAGTTTTGTATGTGTATCCATTGCTTTATGCAGTTGAATTTTTGGAGGGCAGGGGCCAGAAGGATGACTACTATCAATATCTTTAGCCTAGAAATCTGTAAACTAGTAAGTTCTGCTCCAGAATATGCTATGCCACAGTTCTTCCAACCCTCCCCCCTCCTTGACCATTTACTTTGCTAAAGCCATTTGCTGTATGTGTCTTCAGAAAGGCTCAAGAAGTCTTCGGAAGTAATAACAAACTGCCTTAAAGACACTGTAGATAGGATTCAGCTCCAGATTAAGACACCTTTATTTTGAAATCTACGTAATATCCAAGGTCTTATGACTATCAGTGGAGCTTAAAGAGCTATTCAGCTGTCCAGACAGTATTTGCTTTAAGGCAAGCCTAAATGCAAGCAGTACAAGAAATACTGCAACAGCTGAGAACTTTTTATAAAACTCCGAAAGCAAAACCAATTGCCATAACAAAGCTGGTTTTCAAAGAGCCAGATGAGGAGCAGTGCTGTGGCTTCCTTGAGAGATTCCATATCCTTCTCATTTCCCTTATTTCAGAAGCAGTTGACAGTCCTCAGTTACAGAAGGGGTATCGCTCAGCGTTCAAGCCAACAAAGCAAAGCTTTATCAGCAACAGTCTCTTAAGGAGAGGTGTGATCTGAAGACTGTATGTAAGAAAATACAGAGATTTCAAACAATGCCAATAGTTTAAAGCTTTGTAATTCAGAATGGCTGCTCCATCCAAGTGTCTATAAATAAGTGTTTGTAATGGTAGACATAGATGGAAATTATTTCACATCATGTCTATTTCTAAAATCTCTAGAAAAAATAAAGGTTAAATACGAAATATCAACCCATTGACAGATACCTTTTTCCATGTACAAGCTGTTTCTTACCTCCCACATGTATACATTGCTCTTAACTTGAGATCTTTTTTTCTTGTCACCAACAAATGGCCCAAACTTCTTGCCTTTTAAAATTGATTTTGTTGCCCAGACACCTGAAGATAGAAATATCAGTAGTTAAAACTCATCTAACTCGTCTCAAGCAAATCTTCTACTCACAATTCATATTTAAGATCATTATATGTGTCTGTCTCAGACTGGGGAGCATTCTACAATATTAAGATCACAATAAGGAAACTGAAGTTTACTAAAATGAATTCAAACAATCCTCTGCCCAAAACTCACTTCGTTCATGAAAGGTTTAAGCATTTATCTGGTTTCATTCTGTGCTCATGAACTACTGCAACTCTGAAGACAAAAAACAACCTCAATTTTTCTTGTACTTTAGGTGTTACTCAGAATACCATACTTTTATATTGTAAAGTCCCCCATTTCAGCTGTTTTGCTGAGTAAACACTTTACTAAAACAAAAATCCTGTTTCCTTTCTCTGAAAGGAAAACAAAGCCCTCACAAAAGTTGTGAAACTAACTAGTAGTATATTTTGAAGGAAAAACCATTTAGGATTGGTTAAAATATGTGCATCTGCCCACAAATTTATTGACAAGATTTAACTGATCTAAAAATGGACAGCTGCATTTCACATTTTATAGCACGAAAACGAAGAACAGATTGACCAATAATAAAAGCATAACATTCTTATTCAGACCATGCTAGATCAGGTTCATACTAGAAAAGATTAACCTTGCTCCAGGGAGCTTATAACCTGTCACTAACAGTAATGCACCTATTGTCAGACTTACTCCTCAGAGTACCAGCTTTCAACATCAAGTATCCAGCCTGCAATTCTGACTTCCATCAAAGCTCTCCCACATTAAACTTGGTTAAAAAAGAAGCCAAGCATTTTGCACATCTTACAGAAACAACACTTTGCTCCATATAGCAGCTTTCAAGTCTGCACTGAATCTGTTCTTATAAACTTTTTATATTGATTGGAAGGTAGATGCAGCATTCTAAAGAGACAACAATAAGACAGTTACAAAACACAAAACTTGTTAAGTGCTATGAGGGAAAAGAAGATGTGAAGTAACATATCAGTATTTTCATAACCTAAGCCTCCTATGATGGCATGACTGGCTGAGTAGATGAGGGGAGAGCAATGCATGTTGTCTGCCTTGACTTCAGCAAGGCTTTTGACACTGTCTCCTGTAACGTCCTCCTAGGGAAGCTCAGGAAGCCTGGGCTAGACGAGTGGGCAGTGAGGTGGATTGAGAACTGACTGAACAGCAGAGCTCAGAGGGTTGTCATCAGCAGCGCAGAGTCTGGCTGGAAGCCTGTAGCTACTGGGGTTCCCCTGGGGTCAGTACTCAGCCTAGTCTTGTTCAACTTACTCATCAATGACCTGGACAAAGGGACAGAATTTACCCTCAGCAAGTTCACTGAGGACACCAAACTGGCAGGGGTGGCTGATACATCGGCAGGCTGTGCTGCCATCCAGCGAGACCTGGACAGGCTGGAGAGTTGGGCGCCGAGGAACCTGATGAAGTTCAACAAGAGCAAGGGCAGGGTCCTGCACCTGGGGAGGAACAACCCCAGGCACCAGTACAGGCTGGGGGGGACCTGCTGGAGAGCAGCTCTGTGGAGAGGGACCTGGGTGTCCTGGTGAACAAGTTGACCACAAGCCAGCAGTGTGCCCTTGTTGCCAAGAAGGCCAATGGGATCCTGGGGTGTATCAAGAGGAGTGTGGCCAGTAGGTCGAGGGAGGTTCTCCTCCCCTTCTACTCAGCCCTAGTGAGGCCCCATCTGGAGTACTCTGTCCAGTTCTGGGCTTCCCAGTCCAAGAAAGACGAGGAACTATTGGAGAGTCCAGCAGAGGGCTACGAGGATGATGAGGGGACTGAAGCATCTCTCCTGTGAGGAAAGGCTGAGGGAGCTGGGCTTGTTCAGCCTGGAGAAGGCTGACAGTGAATCTTCTAAATATCTCCAGGGTGGGCATCAAGAGGAGCGGGCTAAACTCTTTTCAGTGGTGCCCAGTGACAGGACAAGGGGCAACGGGCACAAACGGAAGCAGAGGAAGTTCGGTCTGAACATGAGGAAGAACTTCTTGACTTTGAGGGTGACGGAGCACTGGAACAGGCTGCCTAGAGGGGTTGGGAAGTCTCCTTCTCTGGAGAAATTAAAAACCCACCTGGACACGGTCCTGTGCAGCCTGCTCTAGGTGACCCTGTTTTGGCGGGGGGGG